TTCACAGCTTTTTCGTAATTCTGTTTCGTCTCTTCAGGAATTTCACCACGAGTGATATAGGATTCGTGATTATTACGATCTAACGCCTTAATTTTCTACATTTATTTATAAATAGAATATCAATGTGAGCATGTATAACGGAAATGTTGTCAATAATATACAAGCACATGTTTAACGAACCTGGTGTTCCTTAATCAATCGGGTTTCCACACCTTTAAAATATTCGATCAACAAATTTTTAAAAAGAGCTCGCTGAGAAGCGCTAACAATTGGTTCGCTATCCGAGTCTGTGAACTCATTTTCGTTATCAAGGCCAATGTCGCGATCACTGGCAGTATTGTTCTCGTCATTGATAGGGGCAGCAGTACCGACCTCACGGAGATTTCTGCGTGTACCGATCATTTCCGTGCCAAAATATTTGATAAAAGACACAGCAAGCGGAAGGTTTACATGTTTGTTGTCATGAGATAACTATTCATATTTAAGTAAACAGACACTTGTTCAACATCGCCTGGATCAACACGGATGTTATCTGCACGGAAATCATTATGCAAATGGATGTTTACGACAAACCAAATCTTTCAACACAGTATACATGAACCCTTCACCGGAGGTTCTTGTTTCTTTGAATTCTTTCATTTCTTTGATCGGGCTACTGACGAACCCAGCAACATTATCTTTGACACCATTTACGCCACCCTCCCCTACTGCAGCACCTCCACTATTCAATGCAGCAACACCATCTTCAACATTCCTAAGAACACCTATTAACCATAATTCACCTGCAATTCTGAGCAAAACACGTTGTTTTAAAATTCGAGAACTTTCCTCTCTTTCACGTTGATCGGTATTGAGAACTACAAGTTGCTTGTTAGGAGGTGCAAGGGATCGAGCCAACGTATGTGTTAAAAATGGAGTAAATGTGTCCGGAAAACGTTGATGCAATGCTGAAATCACCTTTAAAATAATTAATATGTAAAATTCATATTATTAAGAGATCATTTAACTAACAATAATAATTTAAATATTTATTCATCAAAACCAATTCTCACTTCGACAGCAGCCCAGACATCGGCTGAAGCTTTGCATTTTTGTACGCCCTCGACTACAGCGACAACAACTTCGGATATATATTTTTCTAAAGTCAAGGTCTTAACATCTTTCAAT